AGAAGGAGCCACTCGATCAAGCGCTCCAGACGAAGGCATCAATAAAGGATGAAAAAGTACTCTACACTCAAAATGTTCAAGGTAGAGGTCGTGGAAGCCACGGGAATGGTTGAGGTGGTCAAAACAACAGTTACGAAGAAATCTATAATGAGAAGAGACTATCGAGCCAAGAAAATTGGCGTGGAAGAGAACGCAATCGAGGAAGAGGCGGCCGATCAAACATTCAGTGCTATAAATGTCAGAAATATGGCCACTATGCAAATAATTGTAACTCTGACAAATGTTACTATTGTGGTGGAATGGGTCATTATGCAAGAGAGCGTCGAGTCAAGAAAAAGGTGGAAGAAACCATCAACCTAGCCGTGGATGACACAACAAATGGAGGCATTCTCTTATTGGCCCAAAATGAAGAGCCGAACACAAAAGGAGACGACGGTGCGAAAGACGATGGCGATAGTCGTGAGGTAGTGGAAACTGTTGGAAATGAGGTGATGCACAGCGGATATGGCAAAATCCTAATAGCGGAGACGAGAAAATCGAAGAAAGATGAACAATCGAATAAAAGAGGGCTCGAGCTCAAAGAGAGAGAGCTCCAATGGCCGGAAAAGCAATTCGAGGAAGAAAGAAGAAAGAGGACGAAAATGAAAGAAGAAAAGAAAGAGTTAGAAACGAAGGTTGAAAGGTTAGAGAAAGAAGTGGCTGAGCTGAGTGAGAGTTCCTTCTATCTCAAACAAGAGAAGGAAGAGAATGGGCAGGTAATCTCTGATATTATGAAGAAAGTTGAAGAAGGTGTGAAAGTTGAAGAAGGTGTGAAGAAAGAGAAAGACTTGTTAATGAAGATTGAGGCTCTAGTGGACGAGCTAGTGTGGGAGGAGAAAGATATAGAGATGCGGACTCAATAGAGAAACTCACTCGACGTGAACCTAAATCAAGTCCAACAGGAGGCAGTAAATTTACAATATACGATTGAGACACTCACTCGTGATAAAGCCGAACTGGAGGAAGCAAAAATGCTAGCTATAAATGTCACTGTGGATTTGCGTAGGGAATTGAGTAAACTGAACGAAACCATGATGTCTGAGTCAAGCGTGGCAGAGAACGGGAAAAATGAAGAGTTGGTGTCTCAGATGGGCCGTTCTCGAAAAGATCCAAATGAAGTCTTATCAGAGAAGGACAAGCTTAGTTTGCCGCTCGAGAACAAGGAGAGGAAACTGAAGAAACCACGACTGAGCTCAAGAAAACGAAAACAGCGCAGGTGGAATCATTGAATAGAGCATTTAAGTTTATGGGGAGTTTTGTTGGAAATAAACTTAAATGAAAAAAAGAGGTAGTTTCTATTTTTAGTTAATGTGGGTTTTAAAATTCTGTCAAAACGCCAAACATTTATTTCTAGTGGTTTTATGGGTTAGAAAACGTGTAATTCTAATGGCCGTTTTTAGCTGTAGAAAAATTATAAATACATTTTGTTTCTCATTGTAATAGCAGAGAGAAAAAGAGCAAAGACCAAGAGTTATAGAGAAGTTAAGTACAGTGTAATAGAAAAGGGTTTTGAGAATTTCTTTGTTTCCTTGTCTCTCCCCTCTCGACACCTCCTTCACATTCGTGAGAGTTATCTAAACAAGTTGGTTTCAGAGCGAGCGTTTATTTTCTACAAGTTGGTATCAGAGCAAATTTTATTTTTCAACAGGCGGCACATCAAATTAGGGTTTTTGTGAGGGTTTGGGCAAAGGAGACGTGGAGTTAGGTCGGGTTTCGGCCTCTAAACCAGCCCATGGATGAACGTGGGCCCTGTGCGTTTTGGCCCAACACAGACGCGTGCCTGCAGCCTCGGTCTCGGCTCCACACACGTGCTCTCGGCTCGGCTTGACGTGTACGGTGGCTCGGCTCCGTCAAATCCAACAGCTCTGCTTGGCGGCTTAGTTGGTCGGCTCGGTAGCTCGGCTTATCGGCTTGGTATCACTATAATATATTGATTCTAAGGTTTTCGGCCCTTCCGAAGTCGTTTCTGCCCTTAGTTTTATCATCTAAGGTCAGTATGGTTCCTAACCGTCAAAGACAGATTGAGTTGGGAGTTTATTTTGATAAATAGCATGAGATTTAGCTAGGGTATGTTATGAAAGGTTCCTAAGTTTTTGTGTGGTTATTATAGGACGTATTTAACCGTTGAAATTAGCTTGTTGTTAGTGACTTCGGCCAAGACCATTGAGGTAAGTGACCTTACTGTTGTTGTTAGCTTACTACGTGTTGTATGATGGTGCGTGTCTTGTGGCCCCTGCATGCACCATAATTTTATGTGATATGACTTTATGATGTATGGATTATGTGACTGTTTATGCTATAAAAGGTTAATGATTATTTTGACCGTCGACTGTTTTACACTAGGAAAAGTTATAGATTATGTTGAATGTTGATTGTTGACTATTTATGCTATGTAAAGATAATTGATCTGCTAGTATTATATGCCATGAAAATGTTGATCGATGCCATGGATACGCGTAGTATTATCGAGTCATGTCATAAAAGGTTTATGGAACTGGAATGTATTTTCATGTTATGTAATATGCCATGTAATGTAAGAAACGTATATGTGATGTTAGCAATGTATATGTAATGTCATGTTAGGTATGTTAAGGGACCTCATGTATATATGTATGTCACTTGCATCGGGATACTTCCCCTTTATGATACGAAAGAATGAATTACGATATTTATGTTCGCCATGATATCATGCAAGCCCTTTTCTATTATGTGGTGTCCGGCGATGTGTAACACGTTGTGCCCGACCAAGCCAGGCCCAGGGGGTATTTATACAAGCCCGCTGGTAGGTCCATGTACGCGTACATGGGCCGTGTGTGAAGGAGTACCACACATCCAACCCTACCCGGAATAGAAAGCGCCCAAGGTCATGTAAAGTTTATGAAAAGTTAGGTCCCGCTCATATGTTACATGTGTTTGTATTTCTAACCCCAACAGTGGGGTGACTTACTAAGTATTTCATAAAATACTCAAGCCACGTGCTACCTACATTTTTCAGGTAAAAGCAAGGCGCTAATATACGATTGACGGCGGAGCTGAGTACACCATGGAAGTTGGAGAGGGGATATTTTTAGGAGTTTAAGTTTATTTGACTGTTTTAAGTTAAAGCATGGAATATTGTTTTATTTAGATTTATTTTGAATTCAGTTACGGAAGGTTTTATTTTTGGAGATAGGTTTGTTTTTTAGATTTATGAATCCTTATGAAAGACTTTGTTGTGTTTTCGAAGGGGTATTTATGATGAGCTTCCGCATAATGAATTATGTATGCATAGGTGACGTCACTAATTAGGTTTGGAAAATTAGGGGCGTTACACTTTATCTCTAATGGAATGGAAGTGCACCTCCATATGCTTTGTTCTAGCATGAAACACCAGATTTTCTACTAGGTGAATCGCAGATTGGTTGTCGCAATGAAGTGGTATTGATAGTCAATTTTCTGGCGCCAATCTTCCATCAAGAGTTTCAGCCATGTACTTTCCATAGCTGCTCCAGCCGTTGCTCTGAACTCTGCTTCTCTAGTTGACAATGATATTGTTCATTGTCTTTTGCTACACGAAGACATTTTTTTCGAATTGAGTTGAACACATACCTAGTGCTTGATCTTCTAATATCGATATACAACATAGTCAGCATCACAGTATCTGGCTATCTTGCAGTCTTCACTTTTTTTGTACAAAAAATCATACTTGTTTTTATCTTCGTCATACCTCAAGATCCGTCGAGCCGCATCCAAATGAAGCTTCTTTGAACTTTGCATATACTGACAAATGACTCCAACTTCATTCTCAAATCCATTTGTGTAACGACCGATCTTTGAAAATATAGAATCACGGGTCGCCACGTGGACTCAAGAGTAAATAAAAAACTTTTCAATACTTCTTGTAGTTTGAACAGGGGATTAAAAGTTAAAAGTTACTTGATTTACATTTAAAAAAAAGAAAAAACACAAAACACGTACCGAAAATCCGTGGGGTCACATAAAAAGAAATGGTTACAAAATATCGCAGGTTTAAAAAAAACGTCAAAAACCATAACCAAAACGACATGGAAGAAGAGGACTCAATCTAAGGGCCCCCCTTCTGCAGCTGCACGACTCCATACGTCCCCGCCACCGACCCAGATCTACTTTACTCCTGAAAAATAGCAAATAACACGGAATGAGTATATAAACAATACCCATTAAGCAATTGGCTCGTATGCTCTTGTCGAACTTAGCCCTATTCACGGGATACTAAGTTTTGAGCTCGAATAGTCACTAGTCAGAGACCTAGTGGTGCCTGGCAACATCCAACTGTTCTTAAGATCAGTAACTACCTGCCACTGTGCCTCATTAGGCCGGGTCAGTCACTACCTGTCTTACGCCCTTGTCGGCTCAGATCAGTAAAACTACCTGTCTTAGGAACAGTAACTAACTGTCTTAATGCCGCTCGGCTGGACCAATAAAAGGTCATGGCTCATCTCACTAAGCACCCCTGACGTGTTATCACAGTAATATACTATGATTACCCTCAACCCCTCGTGGATGACTATGAAAACGATACACTGCCCTTACGTGCTTCCTAACTTATAATAACTAGCACCTAATAATTGATCCAACTCCCAAGGGTAACAATGGCCTACCCAAGCCCCACGCCCAATGCCTAACAAAGAACCACGGTAACAACACGTCACCATGCTAAGTCACATAATAACCATAATAACCATCTAGCTCAACATACAAACATACCATTTCATATGCCTATACGAAATTTCACATTCATGCCAACGAAGCTATATAACCATAAGGACAACCAAAGTACGACCACACACACATTATCGAAGTACCACTCCATGAACTAACTTTATCCATTCCTACGTACGTTACTAAATTGTTTGGCCACAAATCCAAATCGACTCCTACAAGCAAGTACTTGAAAACTTGCTCTAGATGATTACTTACCTGATCGTAGACTCCCAAAACTTTTATCGAGTCTTCAAGTGTCCCCTTGTGATAAGCGCCTACAATGCTGGAATTTGCAAAGCTAGAGGTCCTTCTAGAATCCTTGCAAAACGCTCACAGAGAAAGCTAACTTAACGGATTGATTCCAACCAAGAGCTGGTTAGAAGATGAATGACTCTTAGATCGAACTTGGAATCTATGATGGTCACTCTTAGATACCAAGACAATTCACTCCAGAATTAGCTTGATCAAAACTAATTCAATGAATCGGTTTAAACATCAAATCTAACGCAAGATTTGAAAAACAATAACACCAAAAGGGTATCAAGAAAACACAAAGGTTTTTTCCGTATTCAACCAAAATCCCTCAAACATGAGTATTACATGCCTTTAAATAGGCCCAAAAGATAACCCTAACAAAACAAAATTCAGCCACCAACCACTGATAAATGCTATTAAATGCAAATGGAAGAATATAAGGCAATTCATACAAACTATTAATAAATGCTATTAAATATAAATTGAAGCAAAGAAGGCATTAATAAATTGTCTTAATTGGTAGTTCAACTACCAAAGGCAAGTCTTCTAATTATTTTCCAATATCAGCCACCCCATTATCTTCTTGATCTGATATGCTAATGCTATAAAGATTTTTGGGCTCAAAAGTCTTTGTTTCAACCTGTACACTAGCTAACTTTTGAAGATGCAATGTATAGGCCTCTTGAATCTTCTTAACCTTGCTTCTTGTAATCGGTCCTTCGGGTACATGCAAAGGTCAGTAGTTGAATTCATATCATCCTCCCTTTCTTTAAAAGGATTTGTCCTCAAATCAAGGTCTTCATTCCCTACATCAAATGGAGTCAAATCAGCCACATTAAAAGTGGAACTTACATTGTACTCACCTCTGAGATCTAGCTTGTATGCATTGTCATTGATCCGCTCTAGTACTTGAAAAGGACCATCTCCTCTTGGTTGAAGTTTTGACTTTCTCTGACTTGGAAACATTTCCTTTCGTAGATGGATCCAAACCCAGTCACCTTGTTTAAAAATCAATTTCTTTCTTCCTTGGTTCTTGCGCGTGACTAGTTTTTTATTTTTGTTTTCAATTCTTTCTTTTATGTCTTTGTGAATTTTTTTTATGTATTCGGCTCTTGAAGAAGCTGCATCATTAGCAAACATATTAGGTGGCAAAGGCAATAAATCTAGAGGAGTTAAAGGATTAAATCCATACACAACCTCAAACGGTGAACACTGAGTGGTACTATGTAATGCTCTATTGTATGCAAATTCCACAAAAGGTAGAGTCTCTTCCCAAGACTTAAGATTTTTAGAAATTAGTGACCTAAGTAAGGCTCCTAATGTTCTATTAACGACCTCAGTTTGTCCATCGGTTTGGGGGTGACATGTTGTAGAAAATAGAAGCTTAGTTCCCAACTTTCCCCACAAAACCTTCCAAAAATGGCTTAAAAATTTTACATCCCTGTCACTAACAATGGTTTTGGGAATACCATGCAATCTAACCACTTCCTTAAAGAATAGATTAGCTATATTGGTAGCATCATCTGTTTTGTTACATGGAATGAAATGTGTCATCTTACTAAACCTATCAACCACCACAAAAATGCTATCATGGTGTCTTCTAGTCTTTGGTAATCGTAGAACAAAATCCATGCTAATGTCAACCCATGGCTCACTAGGAACATCTAAAGATGTGTAAAGACCATGTGGTTGTGTCTTAGACTTAGCCTCCTTACATTTAAAACATTGCTTGCATACTTTGTTCACATCTTTCCTCATTTTCAACCAATAAAAATGTTCACACAACATGCTATATGTTTTAAATTCTCCAAAATGTCCCATAAGTCCTCCCCCATGAGCCTCCTTCACAAGTAACTCTCGAATAGAACATCTAGGGATACAAAGTTTACCCTTCCTAAAAAGCATATCATCGAACACCATATGATCTTGCACATGTTTCCCTTCTAAACATTGCATATACACATCATAAAATTCAGATTTTTCAACTTTGTACAATTCAATCATGTGTTTAAAACCAAGAATTTTTGCAGTAAGGGAAGAAAATAAAGCATACCTTCTTGATAATGCATCTGCGACCACATTATCCTTCCCCTTTTTGTAATGGATTACATAAGGAAACGTCTCAATGAATTCCACCCATTTAGCATGTCTCCTATTTAGCTTTGTTTGGCTTTTGAGGTGCTTCAAACTTTCATGGTCCATATGAATAACAAACTCTTTTGGCCACAAATAATGTTGCTAAACTTGCAAAGCCCTCACAAGTGCATATAACTCTTTGTCATAAGTCGGATAGTTGAGTTGTGCTCCATTAAGCTTTTCACTAAAGAACATGATTGGCCTTTTTTCCTGCATTAAAACAGCCCCTATGCCTATCCCACTTGCATCACATTCAATTTCAAAAGATTTATCAAAGTTAGGTAAAGCAAGACAAGGTGCATTGGTTAATTTATCTTTCAGTTCATTGAATGCATTCTCTTGTTTTTCCTTCCATTCAAATTTCACATGCTTTTTAACAAGTTCATTCAATGGTGATGCTATACTACTGAAATCCTTAATGAATCTCCTATAGAAACTAGCCAAACCATGAAAAGATCTTACCTCGGTTGCGTTTGTGGGTGTTGGCCATTCTCTAATAGCTTTTACCTTTTCTTCATCAACTTGTACTCCCTTCTTTCCAACTAAGAACCCTAGGAAGTTGACTTGGTCTAGACAAAAACTGCACTTTTTGAAGTTGGCATAAAGCTTCTCTTCTCTAAGTATAAACAAAATTTTCTTAACGTGCAAAATATGATCATTCAAGCTTTTTGAGTAAACAAGGATATCATCAAAGTATACAACAACAAATTTTCCAATATAGTCTCTCAAAACATGATTCATTAGCCTCATAAAAGTACTTGGTGCATTTGTAAGGCCAAATGGCATAACGAGCCACTCATAAAGCCCAAACTTTGTTTTGAAAGCCGTTTTCCACTCATCTCCCACATTCATTCGAATTTGATGATAACCACTTTTAAGATCTATTTTTGAAAACAGATTAGCACCATATAATTCATCCAACATGTCATCCAATCTAGGAATAGGGTGTCGATACTTTACCGTGATCTTGTTGATGGCTCGACAATCAACACACATCCTCCACGTGTGTGTTAATAATAAGCGCCTACAATTTGTTGATGGCTCTGATACCAAATGATAAGCGCCTACAATGCTGGAATTTGCAAAGCTAGAGGTCCTTCTAGAATCCTTGCAAAACGCTCACAGAGAAAGCTAACTTAACGGATTGATTCCAACCAAGAGCTGGTTAGAAGATGAATGACTCTTAGATCGAACTTGGAATCTATGATGGTCACTCTTAGATACCTAGACAATTCACTCCAGAATTAGCTTGATCAAAACTAATTCAATGAATCGGTTTAAACATCAAACCTAAAGCAAGATCTGAAAAAGAATAACACCAAAAGGGTATCAAGAAAACACAAAGGTTTTTTTTATGTATTCAACCAAAATCCCTCCACGTGCCATCTTTCTTGGGTACCAAAATCACAGGAACCGAACAAGGACTCATGCTTTCTCTAACATATCCTTTATCCATGAGTTCTTCCACTTGTCTCTGAATCTCCTTAGTCTCGGTGGGATTGGTTCTATAGGCAGCCATATTTGGAAGAGTTGCCCCAGGTACGAAGTCAATTTGATGTTCAATCCCTCTTAGAGGGGGTAACCCCGTACATGCATCTTCATGTGGAAATATGTCATTGAATTCCTGCACAAGAGACTTAAAAGCACTTGGCAAAGCATCATCAGTTTTTGGTTCCATTGCTAAACACATTCCTTTGCACATAAGTACAAATTTTGGTTCTTGGGCTAACATATTCCAAATTTTTCCCATTCTTATAACCAAACTCACATTTTCTCTCTTTTCTTCAAAATCATTTTTTTTTTCTCTCTTGGTTTTCACTCATCCTTTGCCCCTCACTTTTCTCTTTTTTTTTCACTCTTATCTCTCTCTTTTACCTCAGTTTCTTCTCTCCACTATTGTTCTTCATATTCTTTTCTTTTCTTTTCTAATTTCAATTGGTCACAATGTACTTCATATGGAGACAATGGAAGTAAAGTAAATTTCTTCCCACACAAAGTAAAAGTATACTTGTTCATCAAACCATCAAATGTTATCTTTCTATCATATTGCCAAGGTCGGCCGAATAAGATGTCCCCCGCATGCATTGGTACGACATCACAAAGAACTTCATCTTTATATCTTCCAAGAGTAAAAGAAATAAGAGCTTGGGAGTTCACCTTAATTTCTTCTTTGTTTGTTAACCAATGAAGTTTGTATGGTTTTGGATGGGGATGGACAGAAAGTTGAAGTCTTTTTACAAGGAAGCTGCTTACCACATTTGTGCAACTTCCACTATCAATCACCAAGCTGCATGGGTTTCCTTTGACCAAACATCTTGTGTGGAACAAGTTTTCCCTTTGATCTTCAAATTTCTCTTCCTTGATTTGAACATTGAGTACCCTTCTTGTGATCAAAGATATGGAATTACCTTCTTCAACATACTCATCAACATATGCTGCGGTTTCTTCCACAAGCTGTGAGTCCTGATCCTCACATTCATCATCTGAATCAAGTATACCATTCCTTATCACCATAACTTTTTTATTAACACACTCTTTGCTCATGTGTCCAAACCCTTTGCACTTCCAACATTGAATAGAACTAGACTTCTCCTTTACCATCTTTGAAGCTTCATTCTTTTTACCAATGGAACTCTCAGCCTCCACTCTTTTAGCAGCCACAAACTTTTCTTTTGGTGACATTGATTCATTTCTATTCACAAAACTATCCTTGTTCCAAGTTTTAGAATTTGAAAAGGTGTTAGTTCGTGATGTGTACCTTTTTGAATGCTCTTTTTCTTCCTTCAATTGGTCTTCAATTTTGAGAGCATAATGATACATGTCCTCCAGATATGGTGGTGGATTTCTGTCAACAAGATGAGCAATTTCTCGATTCAAACCTCCAAGGAATCTAGACATGGTATCTTCTTCTTCTTCTCTAACATTTGCTCTTTCCATCTTAGTTTCCATCTCTTGATAATATTCCGCCACACTTTTTGTTCCTTGTCTCAAACCTTGCAATTTAGTTTTCAAATTTCTTTCCTAATGTTTTGGAACATACCTTTTTCTCATGGCTTCTTTAAGTTCTTCCCATGTCTCTATTGGATCCTCCTCTTTTCTTCTTCTCTCAGATTTGAGATGTTGGTACCAATCACCAGCATGATTGGTAAATTCAGCAATAGCAAGTCTCATCTTCTTATTTTCACTATAGGTGTTGCAATCAAACACATGCTCTATCTTTCTTTCCCACTGCAAGTATGCCTCAGAATCTGCCGTTCCACAAAAGGGCGGGATTTTGAGTTTAACTCCCCCATCTCTATCTTCATGTACTCTTTCCATCCTTCTAGGTTGCATAATAGTTGCATGGTTATTTCTTCCTCTCCATCTACCATCAACTTGTCTTTCTTGTACTACTATACCTTCATCTTCTTGTAATGTTCGTTCTTGTCTTTGTTGTTGCGCCCTTCTTTCTTGTCTATCTTCCATCATTATTTCCATCATACCTTGAATTGCTTGAAGAATGGTTGTATTAAGATCTGGTACTGGTGGTACTGCTTCTCCATTATGTGACATTTTGTTATCAAGGGACTTCACCACACTTCTCACAAAAATTTCACTCAGGGACACTCGTGTTTAACACTCAAAGGTAGGCTTTTGGTACTAGGTCAAGAATGTAAAGGCTGGCCTTTTTTTTTTTTTGGTGCAATCTTGCTTTAAGCTTGATTATAACCAATTCAACGATCAATTCTAACAAGCTAAGACTAGTATCTCAAGGATCAAGAGCTTGAAAATAAATGATAAGAACTGAATATATATATATATATTTTTTTTTTCTCTCAGAACTGATTTTTTTTCTTTTTTTTTTTCGATAATCTGAGAGAGAAAAAAAATTGATACAAAAAAAAATAACAATAAAAATATTTCACCTCTAGAGCGGCCAAAGAACGTCGACCAAATGCTCTGATACCAAATGATAAGCGCCTACAATGCTGGAATTTGCAAAGCTAGAGGTCCTTCTAGAATCCTTGCAAAACGCTCACAGAGAAAGCTAACTTAACGGATTGATTCCAACCAAGAGCTGGTTAGAAGATGAATGACTCTTAGATCGAACTTGGAATCTATGATGGTCACTCTTAGATACCAAGACAATTCACTCCAGAATTAGCTTGATCAAAACTAATTCAATGAATCGGTTTAAACATCAAATCTAACGCAAGATTTGAAAAACAATAACACCAAAAGGGTATCAAGAAAACACAAAGGTTTTTTCCGTATTCAACCAAAATCCCTCAAACATGAGTATTACATGCCTTTAAATAGGCCCAAAAGATAACCCTAACAAAATAAAATTCAGCCACCAACCACTAATAAATGCTATTAAATGCAAATGGAAGAATATATGGCAATTCATATAAACTATTAATAAATGCTATTAAATATAAATTGAAGCAAAGAAGGCATTAATAAATTGTCTTAATTGTACCAAAGGCAAGTCTTCTAATTATTTTCCAATATCAGCCACTCCATTATCTTCTTGATTTGATATGCTAATGCTATAAAGATTTTTGGGCTCAAAAGTCTTTGTTTCAACCTGTACACTAGCTAGCTTTTGAAGATGCAATGTATAGGCCTCTTGAATCTTCTTAACCTTGCTTCTTGTAATCGGTCCTTCAGGTACATGCAAAGGGTCAGCAGTTGAATTCATATCACCTTGACTAAGCTTGGTGTTTTCCTATAATAAGACATTTATGGAATGTGTGAGTCAAGTACCTAAATCCGAATAAAGACGAATACGATGGTGTGAAATAGGAACAAATCAGGTTTCGGTTCTGTACAGGTGGGTCGGGTCGGGTCAGGTCGTGCCCCTCAGTTTTCGGCCTCTTCTTCCCACCTCCTTCTTGATCTTTCTTTCCTCTCAACACCTCATGTCTTCTTCTTCACAAGGACTCACCAACTTCCCTCGACAATAACCTAGGTACATCAATCCTGTGAAATGTATTAGGGTTTTGGAAAACAACAACAAAAATCACACCACTAAGACTTACCGTCGGCCTTCTCCCTTCCTCAACCGTTCGGCCCACCGTTGCTAACGAGTGCCTCCAGCTCCGTCGTTTGTCTTCACCACTCCACCCTCTCCTCTGTCTTCTTTTCTTTCTTCTTTTTTTTTCTTTTCTTTCTTCTTTCCTTCTTTCTTCTTTCTTCGTTCTTCTTTTCTTTTCTTTCTTCTTTCTTCTTTTCTCTTTTCTCCCCCGCCTCTCTTTTCTTTTCATTTTTAACTCTTAAAGAGTAGTACAACTCGCATTTCTCTCTCTTCACTTATTGCTAGCTATACGGCTCTTACAATTTGGTGGTTCATGTAGATCTCTTGGTCCAACTCTAGATGCAAGAATATATTATTCATATCCATTTGCCAAAATTTTCAATTTTTTTTTGCCATAAGTGCTGGAGGAACTTGAACGATAATGATCTTCAGCACTAAACTAAACGTTTCATCATAATCAAGTCCATATTGCTGAAAGAACCTTGGAGCTATAGTCCGAGCCTTGTATTTCTCAATTGATCCATCCAAGAGACATTATTTTGTAAATCCAATTTCATAGATGGGTTTGATATCTATTGGTCTTGGCACTAATTCCCAAGTTTGATTTTGATCCAAGGCTATATTTTTTTCCTCCATTACCTACTGCCAAGCCGTATTTTGTGATGTTTCTTCATACATCTCTGGCTCTTTAACTTCGTCTTCTATAATAATTGTATTGACATATTTTGGATTTGACTTTTGGATTCTTTCTAATCGTCTGAGTTGTTGAAGTGTCATTTCCTTTTCACTAGGTTCGTTTGGTTGAGTCACTTTTTGCTCACCAACATCAGTGCCACTTGGATCTTTAAGTACATCAACATTTAAGTAAATGTGTACAGTTTGCTTCCCCATCTTATGTGGAAGGGTTTCTTCAATCCTAATAATACTTCCTTCTCTGAGGGTCAACCCGCTTCCATTACACCACTTGGATCGTCAGTCATGCGGTTTGAGCATCCTGAATCAATGATCCAGTCATCCTCGTAATCAATATGCTCTCTCATCATAGCCATGAGCGCTAGCTCATCTTCTTCTATGACACATATTGCCTCTGCATCCCATTCATCCTCCATCTCCTTTTTTGAGGTTGCCACATTGTTTTCGACAGACTTTTTCTTGGACCAACAATAACTGGACATGTGACCCTTCTTCTCGCAATTCTAGCAAATACCTTCAAATCTCTTCCTTTCAGAGCTCTTATTGTCGTTCTTTTGACCTCTCCCTAGTTGTGCAGGTCCTTGGTGGCTTCTTTCTTTGTCACCATTTTTCTATCCACATTTGGTAGACGACTTATTGTTGCTCCGACTTTCACTTGTGTAGAGTGTTTCTTCTTTACCCTCTAATGTGATTCCTTCTATTTGTTTAGCCATGGCTTCTTGACTGACTAACAAATTTTCAAACTCTACAAGTGATGGTTGAGCGGGCAATCCTTGTACAGCAATAATGAAGCTTCTATATTCTGGTTGCAATCCATGGATAATGATTTTCTTCATTCGAGATTCTCCAATGGCGGACTTCAGGTCTAGTTCAATAATCTCTCGATAGATCACTTAACCTTGTGGAAGTACTGAGCAATTGTCATGCCACATTGTGAAATTGACAACAACTCGTTCTCCAGAAGTTGTACCCTTGTATTGTTCTTTGAGAATAGCATCACGAACGTATCACATGCTTCTTTCAATGACTTGTCATCTCAAATGTGCTCTAACATCTCTCCGATTGTGGTCTTCAAGAAAAACATTGTTTTGCCTGCTTTGATTCTCCATTTGTGCAAGACACCATTAGAATCCTCCTCTGACGGCGTAGTTTCACAACCGCCAACGATCTTCAGAGGTCATGTCCTTGTAAATAAGACATCATGCATATTGTCCACGTGTTGTAGTTGTTGTTGTTGAGTTTCTTGATTCCTCCAACAATTTGGAAATCACCCATCGTGTTGGCAATACCTTAGTAAAATCAAACAAGCCTTTTCAACATAAAACTTGCAGAGTCACGAACTACTCACGATACAAGAAAACTCACTCACTAATAATCTTAAGAAATCGTTTTTGATGTGAAAGATTAGACAGAGCTGCAACCATAGAGCATACTAAGAATTCCAAGAGATCAGACAACCTACACTAACCTCGCTCTGATATCATATTGTTGAACACAACTTTCTATGGGAAACACTCACACTCTTTATTATGACCAATCGAGAAGATAATACAAGACACTTTGTAGAATACTACTGCTTTATATTTCTTGGGATGAAAACGTAGGTAGGGTGGAGGGGTATTTATACTAATGATAGGCAATCTATTCCTAATTTTTTTTTTAACTTTATTCCTAAAATACTTAAATCATTTTCTTAAAATATCTAGGTATCTTTATTCTTAAAATACATGAATCATTCTCCTACAATAAATATACAATGTACTCATACAATTATTGGGCTAGTGATGATATTTTAACAAAATGGTGATTATTGAAAAAATCTTGAGATCATGACCTCAAGATTTCACTATGTTATATGTTCAATTTAAGAGTCTAATAACTTAGACACTTTAACTATCTATGAATTGCAAAACAGCTTGTTGGTACATGAGCAAAGACTAAATGAACGTGTAGGTGATGAACAAGCACTAAAGGTGGCATACGATAATATAATCAATGGAAGAAGAGGTGATCGAGCTCGTGAAGCTTTTTGAGGAAGAGGTAGAGGAGGGGGGAGACATCCGTTCAACAAAACTACAGTTGAGTGTTATAAGTGTCATTAGTTAGGACACTTTAGATATGAGTGTTCTCAATGGGAGAAGGAAGCAAATTATACTGAGCTTGAGGAGAAGGAAGAAATGATTATGATGTCATATGTGGAGCTTAATCAATCAAGGAGGGAAGATGTTTGCTTCCTTCATTCGGGGTGTAGCAATCATATGTGTGCAAACAAGGAATGGTTCTCAGATCTTGATGAGGAATTCCGACAATTTGTAAAGCTTAGAAATAATTTCAAGATGGCGGTGTTGGGAAAAGGTAACATTAGGTTGCAAGTTGCTGGAATGATTCTCCATGTTGTATCAAAATAAATACACCTCTCTCTCACTAAGACTTAGTATGCAAACAACAATGTCTAGGATGTTCATACTACTTGCAAGAATCATGCCACAAACCGCCACTTGTTTTCAAACAATTATAGAAGACAACACTCATCTTTGGCACTGTAGATATGGATATCTAGAGTTTCAAGAGTTTGAGAACATTGCAACATAAGCAAATGGTGAGAGGGTTACCTCAATTGAAAACATCGTCTAAAATATGCACTGATTGCCGAAAGCAACATAGGGATGCATTTCCAAAGAGAATTTTTGGAGAGCTAACACAAGCTTGCAATTGGTACATGCAGACATTTGTGGACCCATCAAACATCTTTCCAAGAGTAAGAAGAGATATTTCACAAGTTTTATTGATGATTAAAGTCGCAAAGTGTGGATATATTTTCTTGCTGAAAAAACTAAAGCCGATAGGAAAGAGAAAGATACTAGAGAATTAATTCTTGTTGAGAAAGAGACTGGAGATTTTTTTTTCTACCAATTGGGGCCCTCCCTTCACCACCCCCATGGGGATGGTCTACAGGGTTCATAACTACTCCTCTTACTACAGGACGCTAATTCGTGGCCTGCGCACCGATAGGGGCGGAGAGTTCACCTTTCACGAGTTCAATATTTTTTGCAAAACTAATGGTATCAGTATACAAATTACTACAGCCTACACTCCCCCAATAAAATAGTGTAGCTGAGCACAAGAACAGATCAATCATGAACATGGTTAAAAGTATATTATCAGAGAATCAAGTTTCAAAGAATTTCTTGCCAAAAGCAGTAAACTGGACAGTGCACGTGACAACAGAAATCCTACAATAGTAATGAAAGATATGACTCTTGAGGAGGCTTGGAGTGACATAAAACTTAATGTTGATTATTTTCGAATTTTTGGATGTATTGACCATGTTCATGTATTAGACGGCAAGAGAAAGAAGTTATAAATGATAACAGTTTTTAGTGTGCTACTATAAATGATTAGCTTAGGCCTGTGGTTTCCCTGATCAAACTAGAAGTTACCAAGGAACCATCTCTTTATGGATGTCCATTTAGGTTAGAACCACTCATCATTTAGTGGTTGTTAATTTTTATTTTTAGAGTTTGCTATTTTATCTTTACTAAATTAAGTTTGTAAGGCCTACAAAAGTGATGAATAACATCAACGCCCGCTTAGACGGATAAATCCCATAAAAATTACTATATCTTCTATCGAAAGAGGAGAAATAAATCTGGAGATGCTGATAGTTCCCAAGGAGTTCCAACCAAGTTCTTTTGTTTTCAATCAATGCAATTGATTTCGGAGTTTCATTTTGAGTTAATTTGTGTGTGTTACAACAACAGGACTACCTTTGATTATCTCATAACTCGAAAAGCTGCCTTCAGATGTGGGTTTCTTGGTTCATGTATAAATTGACTAAGCATACGAATTGAATACACTATTTCAAGCATGATAATAGTTAAATATATTAATCTGTCAATCAACCGTCTGTATTTGGTTTGAACATTCAACTTCTCCCCTTCTGTCAGAGAAAGCTTCAAATTTTGATCCATAGGAATTTTTTTTGGACATGCTCCTGTGTCTTAAAGAATTTATAAAGCATACTTCCTCCGAGACATAGAAATTTCTTTTCTAGATAGAGAAAATTTAATGCCTAGAAAATATTTCAAATTTCCTAAATCTTTGATAAGGAATTTCTCGAGTAAACAAGTCTTGAGATGTTGAATTTATTTGAGATATTGTCTGTCAACAGAATATCATCAACATAGATAAGAATTGCAATGAAGTAAGTACCTCTACTCTTAGTAAATAAAGAGTAATCGGCTTTTGATTGAATGTAGTCTGCACTTTGTAAAGTGGTAGAGAATATGGAGAATCAATTGCAAGTAGCCTGTTTTAACCCATAAAGAGACTTATGTAGCCGGATATATTGTTTTAGGTTATGTCTCGATTGTAATAAGAGCTAGAAAAGCACGTTGAAGAAGAGAAGACTGTTTGGTACGAGTAGGAGAAAAATAAGAGAATAAAAAATAATGATGAAGAGAAGACCTGGTGCTAGTGCTAGAACTTAGAGATTAAATGATTGGCTGCAGAAGACATCTCCTAATCATTATGCCAAGCTGGAGACTGTCCGGTACGAGTAGAATGTCGGAGTGGAACTGGTGTATCAGGTGAGATAGGATTAGAATTAGTGGATGAATCTGGAGAATGAATAGAAGGTGAAGAAATTTCAGGTGGGATAGGATTAGAATTAGTGGGTGAATCTAAGGAACATAAGGTGAAGGAGATGACGAAATAGGAGGAAAATGGGAGTTGAAGGAGATGATATCAAAGTTTGTGAAATTCATGAAAAAGAATCTTAAAAAAAGGAACTTCTTTCTTTTCGATAAGCTCTAGCATGTAATAGGTCATCCCATCTCCCGATTGTCTCTATGAAACAATCGGGAGACAGTAAAGATTAGATCAAATGAGAAAGGAATAATAGGGGTATGCGATAGATAGTGATCTATGTTGATTGACTATTTTTATACTCATTTTTTAATGTAATGAAATGCAGGACAACAAAAGAAAGACTAGGTCTTATTATTCCTACATGGTACTAACACTCCTTTGATACTTCCAAGAGTTTCTCTGCCTCTTTTATTTGTACTTAATTTTTTCGATTATACTAGAAATCATATAATAACTTGTTATAATTCGATTTTTTGGATTGTTTCATCAATGGTGTTGTGCCCGAATCTCTTTTTGACTATGCGCTAGTGATTCCACTATTATTAGTGAATAATAATTATTAGTGAGCAATTATGGAATAATTCTTTTATATTCATAGAGATAGGGGACATAATTCACATGGATATGGTAAGTCTCGCTTGGGCTGCTTTAATGGTAGTCTTTACATTTTCTCTTTCACTCGTAGTATGGGGAAGAAGTGGACTCTAGAAGTACTACTAATTGAAGAATCAAACTGTATCGATTGTTTTTGGTTTATTTTATAGATCATTCTGCAAAACTTTTTTCTTTGATTTTTTTTGAACAGTAAAAAAAAAAAAAAATAGTTCTGATTATAAGTTTTTAAGTGGATACATACTTTCGACACGAAAGAACATAGACATAGTGGTTGTCCAATGAGATACTCCGCATAATAATCTACTACTTCATAATAAGATAGTACCTCGGGGTAGCCACCCACATATTACGTGCTTACCACTTGTTTTATTTATTATTCAAAATTTAACATCACGGTTTGTGAGATTATATGTCATACAGCTTGTAACATTTGTGACCGGATATCTTACAAAAACACAAGAAATTGCTCGAGATTTAAATTTTTGTTTAGGATGTACTACCGTTACATAATATTTACAGCTAAAAACTTTAAGATTATGAAATGTTGGTGGTCGTTTGTAAAGTGTTTCAAAGGGTGTCTAAGACTCCATTTTGTTGCTGACTATAGACACAAATACCCTAAAATTCAATACCACAATAAATAAAAAATGGTTGTAAAGATAGGAAATTTGTGAGGCCCTCAAACATTGAAATGAAAGAGTAACATTACAGATATGTAATTGATTAGCTATAAATTTAAAACAAGAAAATGAAGATGATTTATTTGATGATTAATCAATCACAAAATTTGTCCTACTTGAATTTTTCTTGCTCAAGAATTGATGATGAAAAGGGCTTTGCTCGAGAATTGGGAGTTCCTATCGTAATGCATGACTACTTAACTGGTGGATTCACTGTGCCGTTATTGATAGACAAGGTGAATTTTGAATATGTTGTCTTCTTCTTCACCGCTGCTGCAATTGAGAAATTTTCGATAGATTCAGAACCACTGCACACCATTTACTTGTAATCGATGCCAAATACATATTGATGAGTCTTATAAAATGGTAAGATCTAACATTTACTCTATTACCTAATGTGAGACAAGAGAATTAATAGATATGCTTCAATTAAATCAGGTATGCATGCTTCTGGCTTCGTTATGACAGTGTAACAATATGATATTCCCGGATTGATAATTTGTCCCATTTAGTTGGAACAAGTGGATATCTTATCAAATTAGCATCCAAAATTTTGAAACTAAATAACTAATTTCACAGTTAAATATGAAATTTTGATATTTAAGAACACCAAGATCAATGCTATGATATATAATACAAGCTACCCACCAACTCCTAAAAAAACAAAAAAATATGCTAATAAATATATTTCATTATAGTTATAACAAAATATATTTCACAAATACCTTTATATCTTAAATCAAATTATAATATAGTTATAACAAAATATATTTCACAAATACCTTTATATCTTAAATCAAATTTTATTAATATAATTTAATCTAAACATAGTGCATGAAATCGAAACAAACTCATAAGCAACTAGTTTTTTTTGAAGTTTTAGAACGCAAAGGATAAAACTTCAACTAACAAATTAATCTTACTAACAACTTAAACTCAAATACGTTATTATGATAAGATACCTAATAACTGTACAAGTTCGAACTTGTGCTTGACGGTTCATCCTAAAGAACTGGACATCCCTTAGCCACGACGCCTGGAGCTGTCGGGCACTTGGCCAAACTGCAATGGTCATCATTAGCCAAACCCCACCAGTCTGGTCCAATAATATCCTTAGATTGCAAAGTGAAATACACAACAATGCCCATAAATGCAACCCCAGCATCCAAAGCAGCTGACAAGATATAGTTATGCCTCGCCCACCACCCCTTGTACCTCTTGTACACATAGAAGTTGAAGAACATTCCAACCACTCCCCATGTTATGTAGTTCACTGATCTTGCTGGTGGCATGCCTCCTGTTGCTCCTATTATGATAGGCATGTTTATGAGTGTGATCCATTTCTTATTAGGGAACTGCCTAGCAAGAAGCCACACAGGCACTGGGGCTAGCAACCCTACAAGGAAGAACCAGTTCATTGCTCCGTAGACCCCGTACTTTGTGAACATTCGTAGCGGTCCGACGACTCCCCATATGATCGATGCGTTGTAGAACACATCGTCTCCTGGACATGTCCATGGACTTCCTTCTGGCAACAAACTTAGGTCGCAGATGTTGTCTACACTTGTTAGTAGCCACCATGCTGTGCTGAAGTACACGCTGGATGATACTATCGTTCCTACGAGCTGAAGCAGGGTCGGGTGAGTTGTTTTCGATTCAAGTCGATAAAAGTAATGAGTATAATACCTGAACTGTGAACATGGCTCTTGGTGGGATCTTCATGTAGTGTCCTAATTTGAAATCACCAACAAAGCTTAGTGCTTGTGACATGCTGATGTAACCATATGTCTTGAAAGCCACATTTGCTAGGGGCTTCCCAGGGTAAATATACCCTATGATTAGCTCGGTTATGACATTCAATCCTGGTTGCTGCAACACCAAATCATTTCAAAAGTTAGCTTAAATCCCATCCCTCCTCCCCAACTCGTAGTATGAGATCCCACGTCAGTTGAGGAGGAGAACGAAACACCCTTTACAAGGGTGTGAAAACCTCACTGTAATGAACTATGGTGTATTTGGGCTGTTACAAAACCTCTCCCTAAACGAGAGCAATTTTGAGGGGGAAGCCCGAAAGGTAAAAGCCTAAAGAAGACAATATCTACTAGCAATAGATTTGGGTTTCTCCCTAACAAACCCATTTAAAAAATTTTGAGGCCCGAAAGAGAAAACCCAAAAAGGACAATACCCATTTTAAAAATTTTGAGAAGCCCAAAAGAGCAAACCCAAATAGAACAATATATACTAACAATCGATTTTACCTGTTACAAAACCTACATACACATTTAAAAAAATTTGAGGGGAAGCCCGAAAGAGAAAACCTAAATAGAACAACATGTGCTAACAATCAATTTGACCCGTTACAAAACCTCTCCCTAACGTTTAAAAACTTTTGAGGGGAAGCCCGAAAGAGAAAACCTAAATAGGACAACATGTGCTAACAATCAATTTGACCCGTTACAAAACCTCTTCCTAACCAGATGAATATTTGTTAACAATGGGGTTATGCATACCATATTTGTAGTAGCTTGGATGATCCCAATAGGCAAAGTGAAGAAGAGTGCAATTCCACAAGCAAGCATAATCCCCCACCATGGCAATTGGAGCTGTTTATCAAAACCTTCACAAGCAAGCAAGGCAAGAGCAACCATTATTACCAAGATACTAGAAAACCACCATTGAGGCACTTCTTTATAGTTCCTCTTCATTATCCTCGTATGCACGTCTCCGAGCTCGGTCGCCGACGTTGTCTTCTTCCATAGTTGCCATATCGATCTACAAAAACAAGCAAGTCGAGTGAGAGAAGAATCAGCGTTATGTTATATGGAATCAAATTGAAAGCATGGTTAGTTACCTTCCATGGAAGAGAGCAACATGTGAAATAGTGGCAGTCAAAGTGGCAAAGCTCAAGCCATAAGAAAAGGCAAAGAAGACACTCAAGTAAAGCTTGCTATAGTTATCATACCCAACTTGGTCAAGATCAAAAGTCTTGCTATTAAGAACTCTAGAAATGTTGTAATTATTGCCTAACGAGTCGAAAGTGTGAGAAGAAATGAACGGAAAACGCTTAGCATCGAAGGAATTAGACCAATAGGAAATGGGGAGGGTAACATAAACAATCAAGAAGAAGCCAATTAAGATATTGACAATGGCAAAGCCAGGGGTGGCCAAGGGACTGCCCAAGAAGCTGGCAACGGTGGACCAGTCGAGGCCGAAGGAGCCGATGCCGAGGCCGTAGAAACCGGAACCGATCTGTTGGGCAGTGATGGAGTTTTTCCAAATGAGACAGACAATAGAGATGCAAGTTATGGAGGGGAAGAGATAGCTGGGGATGGTGTAGTAAGCAAAGCTTGAGATGAAGACGAGGAGGAAGAACTGTAGCCTTGTGTGTCCTCCTCTTGGCCTCTTCTCTTTCTCATGCAAGGCCCTGTGGTTTTTGACAAGGCGTTAGCACACAATTGGGTGCAAACTCGGTGGAAAATGGAATATGAAGTACCTGAAGAGAGAAACTTGAACCAAATTTGCAGGCCACCACATGTATGGAGAATCAACTAGGAATTTTCTGAATATTCCAGCCCATCCATACCCAAGCATCTGTTACATTCAAATTTTTATGTCAAATTTTTATGTCAAGGGTCGGGTCGACTCGAGTTCTTCGGGTTGATTTGGTTTAACCCGAACCAAATTAGAGTTTTTAATGGTAATATGATGATTATAATAAATGGTAAAAGAGATATAAAATAAAAGAAAAAAATTTCATGTGGAGGGCTCAATTCTGGTTAGGTTAAAGAGGAGAACAAATCATTCTTTTTAAAAGGGCTCGGGTAAGATCTCACGTTGGTTCGAGAGGAGAATGAATCATTTTGTAGGAAGGGGGTGTAGAAATGAGGTGTAGAAACTCTTTTTAAAAGGACGAATCAGGAGGAGAACGAATCAGTCTATATGAAGGGGTGTAGAAACTTATTTTTGTAAACAGGCTCATGTGTAAGATCTTGCATTGGTTAGAGAGGATCTTTAACTCAGGAAAATCAAGAAAAGATAATATTTGATAGCCTGTTATTGGACCGCAAATGAGTGAGGGACTATTAATCCGACCCGAAAGATTTAAACCGCGAATGAGTGGAGTGAGGGACTATTAATCCGACCCTAAAGATTTAAACCGCGAATGAGTGAGGGACTATTAACCAGACCCTAAAGAAGATTTAAACCGAGAATGGGTGAGGGAGAGGAGAGAAAATTTTGGCTTCCCCATCTCCGATCCACCTCATGGACAAGAATGAAAAATATATTTTAAACCCGTAAACGACACCGAACCGAAACGAAAAATTGGAAGTAAAGGAGGATAAAAAAGGGAATTAGTAGCTGACCTGAGTAGTCATAGAAAGCATCAAAGCAGCTGCAGGATGGAGTTTCCTGCGGTAGAAAGCCTTAACAATGGTAACAATGTTAACAGCATAAACACCGCCGGCGCCACAGCTAGCAAAGATGGTAATAAGAACATGTTCTTTCAACGTGAACGGCCCAGGATTCAAAGTAAACGACCAATTCAACATCGGAACTTTAAAAACCCTGGTCGGAAAAGTGGCCGCCATCAGCTTTCCAAGAGGCAGCGCCACAATCTGAGCCGACACAGACGAAATATACAGCTGATTTTGCCGATACCCAAAAAACTGATTCACAAACGCCAGAAGACAACACGACATCAGCCCCAACACCCATGTTCTAAACGTCAACGCCGCCTCCGTCGGGTCATCGGTGATCGGAACCGTCAGCCGGACCTCCTCGATCGGACAGTCGTTTTCCTCCTCTGCACCGCCGCTACCAATGGAGAAACTTGAAAAATTGTTCTTCCCATCGACGGTCATAACGCTCAAATTTTGAAACCCAAATGCTATCTCTTCCCCTCCTCCACCGTGTCTCAATGGAAGTCTCCCTCACTGCCAAATTGTTCCATTCAGAGCCTTCGTTTTTATACCAATGTTGAACCCTTCTTCCTCCTCTGTATGTACCTAACAAAACCAGAGCTTTCCGGAGAAATTCATGTAATGGCTGACCATGATTCTTCCATTTTTAGAATACCCATTTGTTGTTACTACTAATCATACCCAAAATGCCTATTTTACAGTTCATCCTCTTAATAATTCTTTTCATTCTTCTTCTTCTTCCTCATTAATGTTCTTATTCTGTTTTGGAAATGAAGAGCTGTATAACAAATTTGAATCTTTTACCCAATTCTTATCGTTTAAAATTGTTTCCGTACCATTGTATTTGAATATGTTGGGTTATATCACTTAGTTTGGTATTATTTAATGAGCCTATTGTATTTCATAAAAATTGGAAATAATATAATCCTTAGGTAAGAGCCATCCTACCCAACTTTTAGACGTGGATGATTATCATAAGATTCTCTTTCGAGAAAATCCGCACTTTTCCAAATTCAAAATATAGATAGAATTCTAAGATTTATCCTTGCGGTTGATCTATGCCATATTCGATTCTCGTAAGGTGATACATAGCTAATAGTTCGCGTTTGGTGCTACATCATAAGCACATTGGAAACGTAGATAATTGTAACCATATACATATAAAATGACTAGAATGCCACTCCTTGGACTTTATTTGTAAAGTCTCTATTCTTTGGTAGTCGAAACCCACAATCCATGTTTGACTAGCCAAGAAGACAAATGAACCAATAATGAAACACAATGAACGAATAATATTAAATTTGTAAAAAGAACGACTATTACACACAATGAACCAATAATATTAAATTTGTATTTAAAATACTATCATTCATCGGTGTTCAACTAAGTTGTTTCTGATATCATAAAAATGTTTGCTAAAACCACCCCATTTAAAATGTCGGTGAAAATGAAAAATACAATAAATGAATACAAGATATTTGAATATAATAAATTGTAAATATGATATCTATGTAATTTGTAAAGAAATATCTAAATATTTTTCTATAATAAAAAATTAAATATGATATATATGATAAATTATAATTTATAACTAAATATCATTAACAATAATTTTTAGTAGTTCTTAAGGGTAGTGGAGAAGTGAATATAGAGAGTGAGGGTATTTTTGTCATTTTCATATATTATAAAAATTTGGAAAGAAGTTATTTTCAAAAATACTTTTTTTTTTAATAATTTAGATTATAAGTCTTACCCTCCAAATCACTTATTTCTTCTTAAAAAATTATTTTTAGTAGCCATATAAAGCAAATTTTAGAAAAATAATTATTTATTTATTTATTTATTTAAAACGCTTGAAAAGGCAATACAAAACAAATCCTTTAACATATATGGTCGTGTTTTAACTTTTTGTTTTCGGATTCATAATTTCTATCCAGAAATGTATTAACTACTAATTTATGGGTAAATACAATAAATAAATAAATAAATAAATATATATATATATATATATATATATATATATATATATATATATATATATTAACTACTAATTTGGAGATAAGTACCATAAATAAATAAATAAATAAATAAATATATATATATATATATATATCTAAAAATGTATTAACTACTAATTTAGGGGTAAGTACAATAAATAAATAAATATATTTATTGTACTTATACTAAAATTAGTAGTTAATACATTTTTTATTTATTTGTTGTACTTATCCTTAAATTAGTAGTTAATACATTTTTAGATATATAATATATATAATATGACGTGTGAAATTTAATTACTACTAAATTTAATTAAAAAAAACTTAAAAATTAATTTGAAATTTAATTACATGACACAAAATTAATATTATAGAATACTTAAATATATATATTTTCGATTAAGATGTCAAAATAAAAAAATATTGAGTATCATATTTAGAGTTCGATAAATAAGGTTTCGCAATTTAAAAAAATATTATATTTGCAATTATTTTTAAAATAATATTATATTCATAATTATTTACTTAAAATTACATATTTAAAAATATATTTTTATATTTTTCATGTTCTAAAAAAATGAATAAGGGATAAAAATGAAAGGAAATGAGACACAAAAATGACACTTCATATTAAATAATACAAAATAAACAAATATTGTTACCATATTTTAATTTGTCACTTAATATAAATATATTTAGTTGATAAATCTTTAATAATATATCATATTCATCGATTAATTATACAAATAAATTTAATATAAATTCTATAATTCATTTGAAAATAAATATTGGTTATAATTTATTAACCAATTTATTTATGCCTATTTTCCGCTCTCAATTTTTATTTTAATTTTTTAGAAGGCCAATCATACTATTAAATGTCATAAAACATATTTATTGATACTTTTTTTACTTTTTAAAAAATATTAAATTTTGTGGGTTTATTTTGGGTCATTTTTGCTTAATTTGCATTAACATTATATTACCCAACTAATTACTACTTGCCCTAGTTTGTTATCCCACTGTATTAAATCATATCTAATTACATGTCATTATTTTGTTTTTATAATGGTAAAAATTTTAAATTCTATTAAATTTAATAGGGATGACCCGCATGCATGTGAAGTGTCATAATAGCACTATTGGGACAGCAAGATAATGATTGTGCGACACTTGTTCTAATCCAGCGAACAATATTGGCATATGTTCGAGTCTCGAGTCACGTTTGTAAGAAATGCTTTAGAAAACGTAAATGAGAAAATAAGTCTAAAAACAATTTGAAAGAAAGTAATGTTATAAGCTAAAAGCGATTAGGTAGCAACATCGCCTTTCATAGCATATAACTCAGGTAGGAAGAGGTAGCAACTAGTCATATCCTTTTATAGTACATTTTGGTGCATTTTAGTTCTGGAGGGTGTAGACATGATTTTTGGTGAATGGTTATACACTCTCATATTGACACAACGTGAAATAGTAAAGACCTATCTAAGATGAAAACATGTAAAAAGGGTTTGAAACAAGCATGTGACCATGGATAACACGTCCTGGTCAAGCATGACCGGGTCATTCGACATGCGGCCATAAACAAAACGTGTAAAGATACAAAAAAATTAGAAAAGAAAAAAACGAAGGGAAATTTTGTCCCACATCGCTTAAGTTGAGAAGTGGGGAGTTGGCGTCCACGGTAAAAGAGAGAACTTATCTACAAATAGGTGAACCAATCAAAACAGTGGTCAAAGGTCAAGAAAACTAAAACAGAATAACGTGGCAGGTTCAGAGGCCACCACGTCATTGTCTTCAACCTCCGCTCCTTTCCCTTTTGCAATAACATAATTTTCACCCTCTGAAACTCAAGCTCTCTTGCACGATACAAAGACTTTTTCCACTCGATTCTAAAGTTGTAGTCCTACACACCATGGATCACTTAAGATTGGTTTCAACTCATTTAGTTCTTAATCGAGCAAGATGTAATAAGTCAAAGTAGGTTGCTCGATAATGATACTCTATTTCCGAATTCCAATTCTCTCTTGGTTGGAATGATACAGAGCTCTTCCACTCTCGAGTTCTTCAACAAATTCGTTCCTTATCTTACACCTAAACTAAATGTATAAGACCCATACCACGACTCAAATTAATGAAAGTCGAATTTGGGAGTCAAAGTTCTAAAATCCTAAAATCAAAAGCTTATGGAAAGTTAAGCTATGGGTTCACGTTCTAGTTACTTTCCGCCTATATTTTCATAAAAAAATTATTCTTTTTCTTGTCACAAAAAAACACATTCCAAGAATTTGGTGAAAGAACAAAGGGCATGCTTACAACCAAAGTCCACAGATATATATATGTGTATATATATATATATATATATATAGATATAGATATATATGTATATATAGATATATGTCTATATATATATATATGTATAGATATATATGTATATATAGATATATGTATATATGTATATATATATATATGTGTATTATTTTAAATTTTAAAACTCAAAATAAATATTAAATCCGAATTAATTCACTGGTATTGAACTACGTGAATATATTTTTTTTCCTATTTAGACCATATGTCACTGTCTCGAGATTTCAATTTTGGAACGAAATTTGTACTTATTCGTTCCAAATTAAATTTAAAATAAAATCGTGAAGTTTTAGAAAAAGTGAGGAATAGAGAAGGAGAGGAAAGAAGTCGAAAATCCCATAAAGAAATTTGTTATATGTCATCAAAATTCAACCAAGTTAGTCAAGTCAATTAATAGTCCAAAGAAACAAAAGAACCCGAAAACTATATATGATTTTAAGATAAGAGTTTGTTGGTATTTTCTGGAAAATTATATTATTTTAAAATAAAAAAAATCAAATAAAAATTAAAACTTTAATTTTTCAAATTTATTTTTATCATTATTTTGTAAATTATTATCTTGACAAATAAAGAGAGTCGTCTCGTATAAAATAGAAATGTCAATATTGTCTTGATTTTATGAAAATATCGATGAAGAGATTAATTAGAACTGTACATAGTCCGGGTTGGGAGACTTTTTTGACCCAACCCAAAAGTTCGGGTTGGTTAGATTGGTAACCCAACCCGGCCCAAAAATTTTCACAACCCAACCCAACTCTCTCTTTTCAGGTTGGGTTCTTGCTAACTTTTTTAAAGTTTTTTTTTAATTTTTTTATTTATTCACCGTTCATAATTATTGATATAATTTTTGATAAAAGATATTAAAAAAATTAATCAACAAAGTGAAAGAGATTGTAACATCTCAACATTATTTAATAAAAATTGGTTAAATAATATGATTGTAAATTATTATCTTCATAAATAAAGAGAGTCATCTGGTATAAAGTTAAAGGTTAATATTGTCTCGGTGAAAAGATTAACCAGGAGTGTACATGTTCCGGGTTGGGTTAGGTTGGGAGACTTTTTTTACCCAACCAATTAGATTGGTAACCCAACCCGACCCAAAAATTTTCCCAACCCAACTCTCTCTTTTAGATTGGGTTGGGGTTGGGTTCTAGGGTTGTTAACTTTTTTTTTTTAAGTTTTTTTAAATTTTTTTATTTATTCACCGTTCATAATTATTCGATATAATTTTAGATAAAAAATATTAAAAAAATTAATCAACAAAGTAAAAAAGATTATAATATCTCAACGTTATTTAACAAAAATTAGTTAAATAATATGAAATAT